ACACACACACACACACACACACACACACACACACACACACACACACATAAAATACAGACCAGGTCTCCCCAGAGCAGCTGCAGTTCATTGAGTTTGCAGCAGTTTTTCCTCGTCTTGTCATTCCCTCCCTGCTGATGAAACTTCTAAGAGTCTTTCAGAATGCAAGCAGCCCTAACGTTCATAAATGTGACACAAAGCTGAGTGTGTGTGCTCATTAATTCTGATAGTTGTATAATGCATGCTGAAGTGTGTTCATGTCCTTGCCTATGAAATTCTGTCTGGAATCAAACGTGACTGGGCTGGTCTTGCTCACGTTTTATGGTGCGGTTGAGTAAAACAGACAGTTTGGTTTCCGTGACCCAGTTCCTGCAGTGGTCTGCACAGTTTATTGCTGCAGTGCATCTTTTTAACTTAACGTGCATGCAGGGACTCCACTGTAAGGCTGTTTACAGTGTGTGTAGTGGGGGTGGGACTTTGTTGTTGGCAGTACAGTAATGACAGTATGAATTTATTTTTAAAAAGACACTGCTCATATGTTTGATAGTAAAAACCTTTTACTTATATATTTTGTCAGAGCATAAAAACAGTATAAAGTAAAGTCAGATCCAACAATTCAATGGCTCTAAGGCCATTTTTAAGCTATAACTTTAAGTGCTGTAATTTATGGTCTATTGAGCGCACCTGAATATAAGCCACGCCCGCTAAATTTAAAAAGAAAATTAACATTTTACATAAATAGGCCCCTTTGTCTATAAGCCACGGGTGTTCACGTTGTAACCTGAGATATTTACACAGAAAGATTTTTTTTTTTTTACTTTGAATTAAATATGTATCAGTAACACGCACAAATACAGTTTTTTTTTCTGAACAGTGCATATAACATGGCCGATAAAATAAATAAATAAATACAGTAGTCTACCAGGAAGTCATTGATCGCTACCCCCCAAGAGAGACGTGTCAGCTATGTGAGAGCCTGGGTGTGACGAAGCTAAATGTTTTTGTGCTATGAATCTCGTTAGCTCATCAAAAAAAAAAAAAAAAAAATCATAAATTATCCGCAGCATTGTATAAGACGTGGTGTTCAAAGTGTGTGAAAAAAGCAGCAGCTTATAGTCCGGAAATTACGGTCATTGTAGGACGATATCAGTCTTTTTGGGCATCTCATTTTTATATTTTTTACAAATTTTCTAAATTTCATGAACGTTTCAGGGCGTTTGTTGATGCACAGCTCTCTGAAGGCCCCACCACTGCAGCTCAGCCAGGCTGAGACAGCTGCTGGACTGAGACACTGCAACAAAACTATTTGTTCAGCCATTTAGTTGTTCATTAGGTGGCGCAGTGTATCAGCTGATAGAGCTGTTGCCTCTCAGCGAGAAGGTCTCCGGATCAAATCCCAGCCAGGGGCCTGTCTATGTGCAGTTTTCATGTTCTCTCCGTGCCTGTGGGTTTCCTCTGGGTACTCTGGTTCCCTCCCACAGACCAAAAACCCGGGAATTGAATGAGACCTTCTTTCTGACGACAGGGCTAACCACTGAGCCTTGTGCTGCCAAATGAGTGCAAGATTCTTTTGTCCCACAGCTGTACAAGAAGCCCAAACCATGACCCCTCCACCACCATGCTTTTATGTTAGTAGGAAGTGTTTGTGTACTGTGTTTAGTTTTCTCCATATGTGGTGCTGGGCATTTCAGCTTTAGATGTTTTTTATAGAGATTTTGAGGTTTGTTCAGATTCTTCAGCTTTACAAGCCTGGAACTTATTGATGTTTTATTTATTTATTTATTTCAAATGAGAGGCTTACTTTTCATAATTCATAAAAACAAGCCTGACTTGTTGTTTTTTTGTTTGTTTTTTTCTGTTGTAATAAACATTAATTCAAGGATTTTTAATGTCATAGAAGCTCACGTTTGCATGTTTATGGTACAAAATTCAGACTCAGGTCCCAGATCAAGAAGCCTAACAATTACCAAATAAATAATACCTAATGGACAGATGAACTCTGATTGTCTTTGATAAAGCAACAAAAAGTACTTAATTAATTCCTCTGAATTGATTGCTGATGTTGTTTTCTTCTTGAACCTGGATCAGAACGTGATCAAATTTAAAAACTTGGGCTTCCTTAAAAGAATGCATGTTGTTCACCACCATAACTGTTATATCTATTATTGAGAAATGATGCAGGTGTAGCCCTTTAGATCAAATCCCGAATCTCTCAAGAATCATATCAAACTTTAGCTGAATATCTCCCAAACTGACAGAGTTTCATACATTTGTGTTTGTTATTGTGGATTTTCAGCCATCTTGGATCAAGTTGACTTCAAATGTTGATCAGTTATAAATGTGCATCCAATGATTACTATCTGAGTTTCCTTCAAATCCACCCTGTAGTTTGTGAATTATTTTGCTAACAGACACACGCACAGACAAAATTGTTATTGTCTTACTTTTAATTGCAGTCGATGAATTTGCTGATGATCAGTTAATTCAGCTTATTTGACTCAAGTCCTTTTTTTTTAACAAAGTATTTTATTTATTTTTTTTGCACACCACTTCTGATTTTTGAAAACTCAGATGTGCATTTTATATTGAGAAATCTCCCCGGTGGAGAAGAAAAACGTTTTCAATGTCAGGATAGAAGTTCAGTTGTTTTGTTTTTATTTTTTATTATTATTATTATTTAATTATGATTGAATTGAATTGAATTATAATTTGCCATGTCCTACATGTCTGAGGATCAAAATATTTTTTATATATATTTTATTCTTGTCCTGATATATTAACATCAAGATAAATTATAAGCATATAAATAAGCCTATTTAATTTGTAACAATAACAAGAAATAAAAAATTGAAAGGAAAATAAAAATACAAGATTTCAGCTGATGTTCCTTAATATAACCACTAGAGGGCGCCAAAACTCGTGTTTTACCATACCATACCATACCAACTTTATTTATAAAGCACCTTAAAACAACCATAGCTGACACAAAGTGCTGTACATTAAAACACAACATAATAAAAGTGGAAATAAAAACAGTTTAAAAACAGAAAACATACAATTTAAAACTAGATCCTGCTGGTGTTAAAAACATACATTTTAAAAGCATACAAAATTTAAAAACTAGATCCCGCTGGTGTTAAAAGCCAAGTTGAATAAATGAGTTTTAAGACGAACTTTAAAAATGGACAGTGAAGGAGACTCTCTGACCTGCAAAGGCAAGTCGTTCCATAACTTAGGGCCCATGACAGAGAAAGCCCTGTCCCTGTTTTCATGCACAACTCCCTAAAAGCTCAGTCCATTTCAAGTTATTTTTATCAAGTCCTCCCCCTTATTCCACTAAATAACTTTTACTCTGATTTCACACTTCATTATTTCAACCTTTACTTATGCAGGTCAATCCCATTGAGCCTCGGGGACTCATTTACAAGAGAGACCTAAAAAAAAAAACTTAAAGACGATTCTATAAGTGTTGTTAATTTGTGATTTTTTAAATCGATTTTTGTCATTTTTATGTTTTTTATCGTGTGCTGTTTTCCCATCTGTGTGTGATGCAGCGGGCAG